CCAATGTGAAGAACTCTGGAACTCTTCATCTCCCTCCACAACTGAATGATAAATGATAAAAAAGAATGTTGTTTTCCTTTCTTACTTCTTTCAAATCACTCCATAAAGCTCAGCTTTATTATTATTATTATTATTATTATTATTATTATTATTACCCTGCTTTAACTAACCAAAGCTTTCATATCTTACTTCACTCAATAAAGCTCAGCTTATTATTATTATTATTATTATTATTATTATTATTATTATTATTTATATCTTGCTTTATCTCCCCAAAGCTTTCATATCAATGTTCCACATTTGGTTTATTATTGTTTTTCATACCAAAAGCATTGCATAAATTAGTATAAAACTGATAAAAATAGAAGGCGCACAAGCAGCTAAATATCTTTTGGCCAAAAATGGGCAACTACCCTTAAGTCAGATTAAAGGCATCTGACTTAAGAAACTTCCCTTTCTGGGATCCTTTCTCCTTATATCCTTCAATAAGACCTGGATTAAAGGCATCCGACTTAAAAAACGAGTACTTCCTAATTTTATGGCAGTTTTAGAAATGGGAAGATACCTCTACCCCAGATTTGAAACTTACCTCATGTGAAGAGCACCATTGGTAGCATTTTTAAGTGTGTAGAAAGTAAACTGTTTATTGCTATTTGGATCAAAAAGCAAGCCATGCCATGTATAGATGCAAGTAGCACTGAGAATTTAGATCACCTATATGTCTCTCTCAGAATCCTGCTGGCAACAGAGAAACGGAAGCCCAGCTTTCCAGCAGCCACTTGGTGTGTTGTGACCAGAAAAAAAATGGTGGTGGAACCTGTGCCATTATGGCTGGCCGAATGGAGCCAGAACAGCTGGAGCCCTTGTGGTTACTCCTTTCTCAGATTCAACAGCAGACTTCTTTGTAGCTCATCCAGGCATTGGACATTCCTCCAGGAGTTGTGGGAGCTGTCCAGGTGCTGAACTCTCTTTCCAACCAAGGTTCAGCACCTGAATAGCTTCTATATAGATGAACAATAGTTTGGCCTGACAACCTCCTATGTTTCTATTTCACAGGACCACACATCTCTATGCTACAGGGATCTGTTGCTTAAGTGACATCTCTTGAGCACTGGATTTCTCCTTTCTCACTGCCCTCACAGAAATGTATACAAGTTTAGACTATATGAGAGTTTGGTTGTAACAAAATTAGCTGTCATTTGCTAGACTGGAATCCTGTTCATAACATACACACGCACAGTCCCTTACATGTGTAAGCCTAACATCTGGCTGCATTTCTATTGGTGTTGACTGACATACTCCATTAATGGTTGTGTAAGCAGAGTTCCATAAGTGCAGCCATTTGTGTGTATTGTCAACCCTGACTAGAGCAGACCAATGGCATCTATAAGATTTATCTACATGTTCACTTTATGGGATTGACTCTATGGATCTATTCAAGTTGGAACTAGTCAATATAATTCTAACTATGTAGCTGCACATTATTGGATGGTGTGTACTATTAGTCATTGCCTTCAATGTACTACTTTATTCATTGGCAATGCAGAAACAGTCATTGTGAACTTGCAGGCACAGACAGATACACAATCAATAGCACAATGCTAATATTCAACAGAATGTGGCATGACACAACGTAGCTACATGACTATGAAGTTACACTAAACAAGCACAGTGTGGACCCTTGGCCTTTAAAACACTTTAGTGTACACGAAATCCTGGTCTTGGTACTATATTTTGTCATTTTACCTGTCTTCTAAATGTCGATAATTCTGAAACTCCCTGGGAAATTTGTCCACTCACCAAGACAAATGTGTTTAAGTGGTTTTTGATCAGCTCCTTTATAGACTAATGTGAAAGCCCATGATTGCTGAACATTTTCCTTTTGAGTGGTCATGAAAGTCAAGAAGTGCTCTCTAGGTTGGAAGCAGATAACTCTAATTGAAACTGATTTGATAACAGATTGAGAGGCAGTGATATAATTAAAAGAACTAGGATAATTTGATGAAGAAAAATTAGAAGCACCAGAGCCTTAGCCTGAAAATATGAGCTCTTTTCCTAAGAATATCAACAGAATCTCGCTTGACCTTTTCAACAGCGATGGTTGGATTGCCGTTTAGAAATATTTTCTGTCACATTGAGGGATGTACACTCACTGCACACTTAGAGTTATTGTCAAGCAAGGAGACAGCTTGCGATCCTCTTGATGTTGTTGGATTAGGACATTTCTCACTAGCTAAGGCCTTTCTTGGACAGGGGATATGATCAGGGGCTATTAATTTGCTTTGCCTTGTGATAGACCCCAATGACTTCATAATGGGTAGTTGGTGGACTGGCAGTGGGTATCACATGATACTGTGCGATCATAACCATCACCTTGCTACTGTGTGAGTTTCCATCTCCATGTAATAAAGTCCAGAGATAACTTAGCCACATACTGGTAACCTCTCAATTAGAAAGGCCTTAGCTGGTGAAAAATGTCCTGATCCAACAACATCCAACAACAAGCTGTCTCCTTGATTTACAGTAACTCTAAGTGTGTAGTGTGTACATCCCTCAGTGTGATAGAAAATATTTCCAAACTGCAATCCAACCAAATTGTTGAAAAGGTCAAGTGAGATTCTGTTGATAATGCATTGAGTGTTGGATTGCCCCTGAAGAAGGCTCAGAAGCTGCAATCAGAAAATTCAGCAGCTTAACTGTTGACTGGGATATCACATCGGCAGCATACAACACCAGTCTTACAAAAATGGGCTAGCTGCCAATATGTTTCTGGTCTGAACCTAAGGGCCTTTTGAAGATATATAAAGCCCTAAATGGCATAAAACCTCAATATTGAGGGATCATCTCTCCTTATATGTGCCTACCCAAGGATTAAGATCGGTTGTACCCCACTAGTGAAGGCAACACATTGTGTCATGACATGGGAGAAGGCTTTCGTGGTATAGCATCCCAACTGTGAAATAAGGTTCCCTGGAGACACAACTGGAGTCAACACACATAGCATTTAGCAGTTAAACAAAGTCTTTGAGCCTCATTAATTCAACCCAGATGGTTATATATAATTGTTGTAAAAAATAGAAATTAAATTTGTTTTAATTCATTATATTTTAATGTTTTAACTTATTTAAAGTATCTTACTATTTTATCCTGTTCAATGCTATTGGTTAGCCATGATGTTATCTCTTGAAATAGGGCAAGGCATAAATATTTTAATATCTAACTAAGACCATTAATGAATCTGTCTTTGTGTTATATATTTCTGGATATTTTCATCATGCAATTGCATTCAGTTTGCCACTGTACAAACAAAGCAATAAAAACAGTCAGTCTGGAAAGGCTCATAGGAAGAACCTTCCTGGATCTGACTAAAGGTCATTGTTGTTGTTGCTGCTGTTGCTGTTGTTGTCTTGTTCATTTATAGGTCACCTTTCTCCCATTAATGAAACTCAAGGCAGCTAACAGCATATTAAAATAGAATACAAATTAAAATTTATACAAAAACATCAATCAAAGCATAGATATAAACATTATTTATGAGATCTGAAAACCATACTCTGTGTGGTGCAGCTTAGGGAGCTTGGTATGTTTAGACCCGAGAAAATAAAGTTTTGAGGGGATAGGTTACCCATGCCTAAATATTTCAAAGGATGCCATGTTGATAAGGAAGGGGGGCAAGCTTGCTCCATGATGCTCCAGAGACTAAGTGCTTTTATATTGTAGAACAGGTATAGGTAAATCCAGACTCAGGGGCCGGATGCGGCCCCTTGGGCTCTTTTCTCAGGCCCTCCTCTCTCTCACCAACCTTTCCTTCCTTCCTTCTCTCTTTCCTTCCTTCCTTCCCCCTTCCCTCTCTATCCTTCCTCCCTTTTGTCCTCTCTTCCTTCCCTTTTTCCTCGCGCCTTCCCTATCTCTCTCTTTCTCTTTCCTTCCTTCCCTTTTGTCTTTTCTCCCTCCCAAAGAATCATAGAGTTGGAAGAGATCTTGTGGGCCATCCAGTCCAACCCCCTGCCAAGAAGCAGGAAAATCACATTCAAAGCACTTCCGACAGATGGCCATCCAGCCTCTGCTTAAAAGCCTCCAAAGAAGGAGCCTCCACCACACTCCGGGGCAGAGAGTTCCACTGCTGAACGGCTCTCACAGTCAGGAAGTTCTTCCTCATGTTCAGATGGAATCTCCTTTCTTGTAGTTTGAAGCCATTGTTCCGCATCCTAGTCTCTCTTTAATACAGGAGCCAATATATAGTTAGCATGCTTAGTCAACATTAGCTTTTGATAACCTTAATGTCCCCATTTTTGTCTAATTCTTTCTTAAAGTCATCTAATTTAGCCATACTTGATGGCAGAGAATTTTGGTTGAACTAATAGCTGTTAGTCACTGTTCAGGGCTGCAGATCAACTAGATTGGCAGCTTAGCACCAGTAAAGAGAAAATTGAAGTACACTTGAAACACCCGAACTGATCTGTACTGACAAGTACATCTGAAGTACATCTAAAATGCTGGACTGATTTAGGTTAGGGGTATAAACATAATCCACAACTTTTTAAATCTCTGGAGAAAGTGTATCTGAACACATTGGGACACACATTCAAGGCCAGCATTCATATTTTCCTAATTTTACATGATAGCATAAAGGCTTTTGTCATCGGCAACAAAAGAAAAACGTTAATTGGGGCTAAAATATTAGGATTTGTGCAAAAACTTCAAATCCCTCCCTCCTCCCGCAATATAGTTTTTGTGCGGTGTTTTCCATAGAAAAACCTTTGTGAAAATCTCCCCAAAAAATCACAAAATGTGAAAAAAACAATTGAAAATGCACAAAAGTCTTACATTTTGTTCTCTTCATGAGGAAGAACTCTTGAAATCTTTCATTCTCATGTACAAGAATGAAATTAGCACACTTGGCCCATGGGGCATATTTTTCCCGGCTTTCTCTTAAAGAGAAGAGTAATGATAAAAGCCTACCTTGCAGGAAGGTTAGCCCACCAGTAGGGTAATCTTACCTCCTCCATTTTTGCCACAAAGATACGGGAAGCGCCAAACGTTGCCCAGGCCAATGGCGTATCCTACACAGGAGAGCAAGAAGTCAAATTTGCCTTTCCAAGAACCTCTGTCAGGGACCTCTTTCTTCTTCTTTGTTGTGGTGACATTTCCTGAGACAGTGGGTTCTTCTGACTCTTCGAGGGTAGCCTCCGTCATTTCAGAAAGTGGATTCAGCTCCACTGATGGAGCTTTCCCATTAATGTTTACAGTAACTTCATGGAAGAGAAGAAACACTGCCCTCAAAGGGACAGGATGGATGGATGGATTGGAAGATTGGACAGATCCCTCACTGGTACCTGAAAAGGGTGAGAAAGATTGCCAGGTGTGGTAAGAAGAGGGTAAATTTCTTATTAGCCTCTCTTTCAAAAGCAATTGCAATTGCTAATACAAATGGCAATATACATTTACCAGGTATACATGCACACACCTGTGTTTTGGATATGAAAAAATTCTCATCCCCACCTTGGTTTCACATATGGTTGCATCCAAATTTGCACTATTTTAATGCAGTTTACTAAATTATGTACTTCTTTGAGCTGTTTGTTTAAATATTTGTATTACTCCCTCTATGTAATAATCTCAGGGTGACTTACAATTAAAACAACACGATCAATTTTAAAACCACATAAAATGCAATAATGACTTTAAAAGGCTAAAACCACCTCTGATTTGGTGGTGGTGAAGGATGCTGGTAGTCCATGTAGCCCCAAGCATGCCACAGAGGCAGAAAATCCCCAGAATCAGGGTCCCTGAGAAAAAAATTTCAAGGGTTCAGGTTGTGGGTAAGGTAGGGTTTATTCCATTCATTTTGTTGGGAAAATAAGTATCAAAAAAGCCAGGGAAATACCTTAAGAGCTACATGTTTGCTGACTTTTGTAAAAAAAATACAATTAAGGAAGGCTATAAACATGTTTTGAGAGAATGAAATAAAAAATTCACAGTCCCCACCTTGTCTCTCTAGGGACCTTTTCACACAGCCTTTTGGGCTGTGCCATTACGCCACTAAATGGAAGGCGTGTGGGGTAGTTTGTGGTGCCCCGTACGCCCTCCCTCCTCCCCTCATCACATAGTGGAGATGGGACATCACATGGCAAAAAGGGGAGGAAAGCGTGGGTAGCTCAATCGGACCTACCCAAACAACACTTTCCTCCCCATAGTGGAGGAGGAAGTGACTTTCAGCCCTTCAGCTTTGGGAAGAATGTGGGTGGGGTCTGCCATGTGTTGTGTGATGGTGCACAGCAGGCACTGTCCAAGCCACACATCAAAGTGGCAAAATGGGGCAAAAATACCCTGTGTGAAGAGTTCCTTGAACGTGAGCCGATATACTATGGGATCAGGCCTTGGCAGACTAGGCTGACCTGTTGGCAAAGCGATGGCTTTAATGGACTTGACAGATTGCTTTTAGGACGATGACTTAAATCATTTGACTGTTTGAATGTTTTTATACTGTTTTTATATTGTTTTTATTTAAATTGTATATTTATGCTTTTGGTTGTGGGCACTATGATGTGCCGGTTGTTAGCTGCCCTGTGTCCCTCTGGGGAGGTCGAGATAGGATGGGATACAAATGTCCAAAATAATAAATAAATAAATAAATAAATAAATAAATAAATAAATAAATATGCTGACTGCCACCCACCCGTTCTCATAGCATGGGCCAGAAACTATTTCTGGCCCATGCCATGGATAACTTCTTGACAGGGAAAAGTTCAACTGGTACTGCTTTTATCTCTCAGTGCATCTTCAAACGGGTGTGATAGTGCATATCACTGCTAGACTACTGCATAGGAATCCAGACGTGATTGCCACAGTGATGTACCCACTATGAATTGGGGTTGATCCCCCTCCAAGTGATGACCACATGGGTGAGTCAAAACCTTTAAAACAACACTCAGCAGATGCCATGGACCACATCTTTCACATGCTAACCATGCTGCATTGTTTGTCATCCTCTGAAGAGGAAATAGGTTTATAGCTGTCAAATATTTTAAAGACTGTCAGAAACAGGAGAGAGAACATCAGCTTGCTTTATCCACTGAGAACAGGAAGATCTAGAAATTATCTTGCTGCAAGGTGGCCTTAAGCAATTTAGTAGGGAAAGTTTGAGCAATTATCAAAGCTACTGTGCAATGCATTGCATGCAAGGAAGAGTAGAGAAAGGTGGAGAAGAGGGCAAGGAAAGTTGTCAAGGAGTTGGAACAAACTCAATTGTAATGAAATATTCATATGTTTGGGATAGATTTGCACAGGAAAAAAAAGTAGATTATATGGACATGCAGTGGCACATGTTAGCATTATGTTTGTAGGATGGTGAATCTACCCTGAGGTTTATTCCAAACTTGAAAGAGGTTATCCAAGGTGCTGAATTCTATCCCCATATTAAGTTGGCTACCTACTTCCTTTAAGGTTTGAACTAAAAGTTGGAGTGGACTGGATGCCCCACAGAAGACAGAAGTCACTACTAGGGATGTGATAGAAGTGCAGAAAATTATGCTGGATTTAGATAAAGTGGCATGTGAGGTTTTTCTCACTTATAATACTTGAATGTGGAAGGCACCTAGTGAAGTTGAACAGCTGGAGGCACAAGACACAGAAGGGGAAACACATCTTCACAAAGCACATTGATTATGGGATTTTCTAGCAGCCAGTTGGCTGACAACTTAGATGTGGTAAAAGGTGGGGGGAGGGCGGGCGGGCGTGGAATTAGGCAAACTTGTGGAGGATATAGTCGTCAGTGGTTACTAGCCTTGGTTTGTGTGTGTGTATGTGTGTGTCAGGAGCAACTTGAGAAACTGCAAGTTGCTTCTGGTGTGAGAGAATTGGCAGTCTGCAAGAACGTTGCCTAGGGGATGCCCGGATGTTTTGATGTTTTATCATCCTTGTGGGAGGCTTCTCTCATGTCCCTGCACTGGGGAGCTGGAGCTGATAGAGGGAACTCATACGCGCTCTCCCCGGATTCGAACCTGTGACCTGTCGGTCTTAAGACCTGCCAGCGCAACGGTTTAACCAACTTACCTGTCCGAACGCATCTCCCCTTATGAACCATCTAGGATGTGAAGATCATCTGGGGAGGACCTGCTCTTGACTCCATCTGCATCACAAATACGCTTGGCGGGGACGAGAGACAGGGCCTTCACAGTGGTGGTCCCTCAGCTATGGAATGCCCTTCCTAGGGACATTAGATTGGCTCCCTCCCTTTTGATTTTCTGAAGAAAAGTCAAAACCTGGCTATTCGAGCAGACGTTTGAAAAGGCAGTGTAACAGACATTGGATTATGGAACAATTGGAATATGAGTTTGGATGACGTTTTTATTTAGGAGATGAAATGACTTGTTTTTTACTATTGCTGTGATCTTAATTGATATGTTATTGTTTTTTAAATGTTTCTATGATATTGTTGGCATTGAATTGTTGCCTTGTGAACTGCCCCAAGTCGCCTGCGGGCTGAGAGGGGTGGTATACAAATGTAGCAAATAAATAAATTAATTAATTAACCAATTCCTAACTAGCCTTGGTTACAACCAGTAATAAAGGCAGCATGCCTCTGAAGGCCAATTCTCATGCCTGGGAGGATTCTATGACACCAGTTGCTCTTTTGCACCATTACTCACAGAGCCCCCCAGCTTGTAGTTGAAAGGGAGGGAGGGAGGACGGAAGGACGGAAGGAAGGAAAAAGAAAAGAAATGAGAAAGAGAAAAGGCAGATCTTGCTTGTGACCTTCCCAGGGTATCGCTGTTAATAATGGATGATGGAATGGTGTTCTAGAGTGAAGAGTCATTTGGCTTGATCCAGTATAGTTCTTTTTTATTTCCTCTATCCATGGCAATCCTATCACTTGTGGCTGCATGACTTTGAAAGAGATGGGCCAATTTTTCACATACCTGAATAAGCCACTGGGTTACACACACACACACACACACACACACACTATTGTACTCAAAGAAACTCTAATTGTTTTATTACTTCCACTTATGAAGCTTTCCTGTGACAGGCCTAGAGAGCCATGCTGCTAGCAGAAGGAAAACAGCCTCTGTAAAGAACACAAGGGAAATCCTCATCAATGAGCCTCCTCCAAAAAACTGGCAGAGATGATTTACAGCAAGAACTCTAGGCCTGCAGCCCTGAAATCATTTACCAAGCCAGTAAATTTCATTTAAATCTACACCCAAGGTAATGAATCAGTAAATCTTCCAATAAGTCTCTTCCCTGGTTGCCTGGCTGTACTGAAATAAGATTGCCATTTATTCGGGTTAAATGAAGACATCTTGACGAATGGTCAAACACAGCACAGCAAGCCTTGCTGAACAAAACAGCCAGCAATTGTCCATCATTTCTCCAATATATCTTCTTCTCTAGGCATTTAGCCAAATTATTTCTCTGTCAATATTGAAGGTGTTCTCTTATTAACACAGAGAACTAGTTCATATATACAAAGTGGGATGAAATGTATGCAAGCAATCCAATGAAGCACACAACTCAAGATCTGATCTAATTTCACTGTGTCACCATCAAATACCCTTTGTATCGCCACTGGAAATGTGGTTTGCTTTATGGATGTGCCCACAGTGAAGTACTCCTCTCCTGTTATTACACAAATTGGAGAAGTTGCTGCTGGCCAGGCTGGTTAGAGGAGTCTGGGAGTTACAGTCCAACAAAACAACTTTTCCAAGATCTGCTCCACTCAGCCTACCAACAACGTTGGTCATGCAACTTGGCTCTTGGATTACACTGTGAGATTAGAGCTTTAATGTATGAAGTCTGGCAAACTTTATGCTAGGCACAGATAATAATATTATTTGGTTTAATTATGGTAAGAACTAATGAAATTCACACATCTTGAACCAATATGTGAACCAAAACACAGTAATTGTCTTCAAAATACACTAATAATAGTAATACACTTTATTTATATTCTACTCTTCTTCCCTACGGGACGCAAAGTGGATTACAGCATTTACATACATAGGCAAACATTTAATGCCTTTACAATCATATACAAATGAGACACACAAACAAAGGCAGAGGCTTCTTCTTTTCATTTATGGTTTCTGGAGGCAGCGCTTCATCTCTGACTCTGGGGAGGTGCTTTCCTCTATTTTTCAAGCCAAGGAGCTTGAATATGTCTGAAATGTTTGCAGCACACTTCCTCATTCTATATTGATCACATACAGTCAGTTAATAATGTACTGTATCTGTTTATCTGTCTATTTTCTATCCGTTTACCTATCCATGCTCACAAGAATGAGCACACATAGTGAAAGATTGCATATTAAAATATACACCTAAGGGTATGTTG